CTGGAGGGCTGGGATGTAGCTCAGTGGCAAAGCATTTGCCTAGCAAGTGCAACGTCCTATATCCTGGGTTTGATTCCCAGTAAGTGGTATTGTAGTTTGGTATTGGGGCCTCATGCTGGCTGGGCAGGCACTCTACTACCTGAACCACACTGCCAGCACTTCTTGCTTTGGGTTTTTGACTTTTTTCTCTGACTGGCCTGGGCTTCACTCTTCCAAGTGAGGTTTCCTGATATAGCTGGGAGAACAGGCACACCCAGCTTGCTCTGTTGAAATGGGTCTTGAACCCAAAAATGAACCCACAGACCTGTCGCCACCTAATCTTCAATAAGGGAGCTAAAAACAAATAGAATGGAAGAAAGACAGCCACTTCAGTAAATGGTGCTGGCAAAATTGGCTAAACACCTGTAGAATCAACTGCACCAGAATCAACTCCAAACGGATCAAAGACCTGAAAATATTACAAGAAGGAATAGGAAAAACTATAGGGCTCCTTGGCACTGGCCAAAATTTTCTTAATAAAGACCCAGAAACACAGCACATCAAAAGAAAGGTTGGAAAAATGGGATTGCATGAAACTGCAGAGCTTCTGTATGGTAAAGGACATAACTAGCAAGATCAATAGAAAAAAATAGAAGATCTTCACTAGCCATACAACAGACAAGGGTCTCATATCTAAAATATACTGAAATGGAAGGTAGGAAGAAGAGTTGGACCAACTGATTTCTAATGTTGTTTCAGCTCTAAATTTAGTTCCAAGTCCTTGGCATGGCTTTATTTTTTTGTTGTTTTGAGTAACTCTGACCAGTACTTGAAGATTGGAGGGTGAACTGTGGCTGTATTGTCTTCTTTTCTGCAGGAAAGTCTGGCATGGTTTGAAACTGAAGAACACACAAAAGTCTAGGCTAGAAATTTCAAAGTGTAGAAATCCCCTCACAAGTAAGTTTTCTCTTTTGAAAGGAAAGTTTTCTCTTTGTTTGGTTTTGTTTTTATGGGGAGTGATTAGTGACACCATTAATTTGGTTGCATTTGAAACCCTTCTCTAACAATCAGATAGCAGCACTTGTGCCTTGTAACAGTTGCCTAATCCCTTCCAAGTACCAAAGCCATGACTCTGGGGCTGCCAGGGCAGGCATCTCCCCAGAGAATCCAAATTTTCCCTCCTCAACAAGAAGGTCAAATGCCTAATGTTTTCCTGCCTCCTGAAGATTCTCTCTAATCTACTGGCATTTTCTCTGGAAAGAGGGATTGATCTTTCACAAACCCCTACTAAGACAAGGTGCAATTCAACCTCTGTAAAACATCAAAAGAATTGTTTCTTGATGACGCCTCATTGCCCTTCTAACTCCCACCCCATGTGGGAGACAGGAAGATAGAGATGCAGAACAATGAGACAGAGAATGAGAAATAAAGGTAGAAAAAGAGAGAAGGAGAATACGACAAAATAAAAGAACCGACTGGCGGTGACTCTCGCCTGTAATCGGAACTACTCAGGGGACTGAGCTCTAAGGATCGAAGTTCAAAGCCAGTCTGGGCAGGAAAGTCAGTGAGACTCTTATCTCCAATAAACCTCCCAGAAAACCTGAAGTGGTGGTGTGACTCAAGTGGTAGAATTTTATGCTTGAGCTAAAAACCAGTGGGACAGCACCCAAGCCAAGAGTATAAGCCCCAGGACTGACAAAAAAAAATTTTTTTAAAGAATTAGAATAAAAAGGATAAATAAATATTTCAAATCCTATTATAGCCAGCACTATCATACTTTTTAATATTTCACATTCTATATTTGTAACATTCATGTGAATTATTATTTTACCCTATTTTTTCCTTAAAAATGTGTTATGAAAACATAAAAATTTCCAAATATGTTGGATTAGACTGTTGGTTTCCATGACAAATACCTGACAAAAGGACTTAAAAGTGGGAAAGAATTATTTTGGCTTACACTTGATCACATTGCTTTGGCCCTGAGGTGAGACTGAAAACTCATGCCAAGAAGGGTATAGTGGAGCAGGGCTGCTCACCTCAAGGTGACCAGGAAGCAGCGAGAAGCAGGAAGGGGCAGGAACAAGATCCATCCTTGCCAGCGACTTCCTTTCTTCAACAACTCCTCACCTCTTACTAATGCTATGAACTTATGAAGCCCTGAATGGATTGGTCTATGGATGAACTCAGAAGCCTCAGGAGACAATTATCTTCCCAAAGCCCTGCCTTTGAACACTGGTACTTTTGGGACCCACCCTCTCACACATGAGCTTTTTAAGAGCACATCCCCTATCCAAACCCAAGCACACAAAGATGGAATCATACAGTGTATTCGTCAGTCTTCATCTCAACCCACAACCAATCATGCTTCATTCCTTCCCTCCCCACTCTCCTCAAACACTGGATGCCCCTTCCTATTCTTTCTTTCCTAAACCAAGATTGCTTTGAAGGAAATTCCAGTCATCAGATTCTTTTATCTCACAAGTAGTTTGGGATGTGACCCAATATATACACTCTTACCAAAAAACAAACAAAACAAAATACCACACACACAAAGAAAAACACATAACCAGGCCCTGATGGCTCACATCTGTAATCGTAGCTTGTCAGGAGGCTGAGGCTGGAGGATAGGAGTTTGAAGCCAGCCAGGGCAAGAAAGTCTGTGAGACTCTTATCTCCAATTAAGTATCAAAACATCAGGGGTTGGACCAGTGACTCCAGTGGTAGAGCACTAGCCTTGAGCAAACACAAAACAAAACAACTGCTGGTTACCAGTGGCATCCTAGCTATTTGATGGGTGAGACCTGAGAGTCACTGAGACACTCATCTCCAATTAACCACCCAAAAGCCAGACATGGAGCTGCAGATCAAGTGTTAGAGCACCAGCCTTGAGCAAAAGAGCTCAGGGACAGGGCACGAGCCCCAAACCCAAGGCCTAGGACCAACAGACACATACCACACTGATAATACTGATTATATATAAACATATTATAATACCTGTTTAGTATCAATTTCTAAATCATATGTAACTCTATATAATGGTTTGAAGTCCCCTTTCAGTTTTGTTCATTTCAATCAAGTACTAAACAAGACTATGTATTTCATTGATTACTATAGCTCTTCAGTTAAAGTTTATTGGTTTCTCACTTATTTTTCATAATTTACTTACTGTAGAAACCAAGATATTTATCTCATTGATTTGACATCCCAAACTCTTAAATCTTCTAATGACTTCCTATTCATTCTCTCATTTAATCTTGTTAAACTAGAGTGGGCACTTTGATGTAAATTGGGAAGTTGAGGCTTTTCTGTATTTCCCTTCAGACTGTGTGGCAGCAAATGGGGGATTTGTAGCTGTGGATGTGGCTGCGAATGTCAAGTTTTCTTTCAGAGAAGTGCTGGAGTTGAACAGCAGCTCGGCCTTGTAGCAGAACACTGTATAACTACTGGTCTCCAGATTGAGCAACAAAATCACAGCCTTATCCATGGATAGGTTTTCCCTTTGTTCAAGTCACCCCCACCTACACACACATGCAAACAAGGTATCTGTAGAAAGCTAAACATAACACATGAACTTAGCAAATCATGCTGTTTCCACACCCACATCCACAATGGCTTCCTGCTGCAACCAACTAAATGTTCTGAGCTGAACCTCTGGAGGTCTTCTACAATAGGAGGTTTCCAGTCTTTTCTCCCACTCTGTGTTTATACATCCTGTGCTCTACACATTTAGGAGGTTTGCTATTTCCCAGCATGTCAACACTTCATACTCTCTAAGTCTTTGTTCACATGGGCCCATTTTCCTGCAGTCCCTTTCCCTCCCCAGCCTGAAGTAGTCTCTTATCATTTCAGGCCTTTGAGGGTTTGTTAGGAGCTATGACATTTATTCTGTGGCTATGTCAAGTGCAATGTATGAGGATGTGGTGGCAGGAGCCAAGGGGGATGTTCCCTGGGTCTCCTGTGGAGGTCTGCAGACATCTCCCCTTCCTCACTCCTGCAGTCTTGCGGTTTCCCTGACTTCAGTCCATACCTGGCATACCATGGATGATGACAGCTCTGCTGATTTGTTGGGAAAACAAGGCAGGGCAGAGAGGCTGCAGGACCCAGTCCCCTCTGCTAGGTCCTTCTTACACACTGCCACATTCTTCCCTTCTTTGTGGCCCTTCCTCTTGCCACCTGAGACTTAAGAACTTTCAGGTGCCTTCCTCACTACTGCCCTTCCCTTTTTGCCCGTACTGGACTTGAACTCAAGGACGTGGTGCTCAGTAGGCTTTCCCTGCTTATAACTGACACTCTACCAGTTGAGCCAAACCTCTAGCCCGACTTTTTGCTGATTCATTGGTGATAGATTCTCCAGACTTTTCAGTCCCACTGGCTCAGCCTCTGCTTCAGCCTCCTGAGTACCTAGGATTACAGATATGGGCCACAGGTACCCAGCATACTGCTTGTACTAATTGGAGATGTGATAGTTAATGTTGTCAGCCCTTCCCATTTGGCTCAGTGCCAGAACTCTTCAGTTCTTCAGAGAGAGGTCCCAGGAAAGCCCCTGTGAGCAACTTTCCCTAGAGAAGGAATGTGAGACTTAGAGAATTCCAGGGTTTCCTTACAAAAACAAATTTGGGAAAAGGGCAGATGAAGAAACTCTAGGTCTTAGAGACATCCAGAAATGACATATAATTATCTACTGCACCTAGTGGAGGTCTCTTTCTCCCCTGATGAAGAACCATCCATTAAACCACAGTCCTTCCTTTAACTCATTACAGCAGCTTCTGCCATAGCAGTATTAGCCCCTTAGTTGTCCTTAGTTGTCCTTAGCAAGCCATAGGCAGGACTTACTTCTTCCATGTTCCTCCCTGCAGGTCTGAGGTCAGTGCTTTTTCCCATGGTAGATAATTAGTCATGAGGTAAATACATAAGAATATTAATTATATAATGGAACACAATAAATGTTTGCTTAATTTCTTCCTGCTCTTAAGCTGAAAAAGAGAGATTAGGATACTGACTCTAAACTTTGCATTCTCACTAAAATTGGGACTTCCGTTGCTTTACAGCATCGTTATGTGGAATTTTTCAAAATTGTAAAAAATGTGTTTCACGGGAATTTACCACCAAAAAGAAAGCTTAAAATTGAAAGAATTGTAGTCGATTCTCTTCACAGTAAGTGCTTTGGAATTGAAGGATGGGACCTGAGGACGAGTGCTCCCATTCTTTGAGAGGGTTTTGCTCGCGGTTATGTACATAGATCATCATAACTCCTAGCTGTCTTAAGTTTCCCCACACATGAACTCCTCTCTGGAGCTACCCACTGGGCAGGCGATTCATAGCCATGATAGCAAGTCTTAGATGTCTCTGTCTTCCTTTGCCCATTTCTACTTGAGGGGAGAGCTCCCTCCTCTTGCCTTCTGTTCTCATGGCTACCAATCTCAGCTCAGGGTAGGCCTTTCAGGGTTGGAGCCTTTAGAGGTGAACCATGAACCATTGACACTGCTTCTTTCCCACACCCATTTCTCCTTCATGCTCCTCTCAGCAGCAGTGTCCCTGTATCACTTTCTCATCTAGTCCTTTTTTCCTCATCTCACCAATCTTTCTTTTCCCTCTTCCCTCCTCCTCTAAGCATCACATCCCCAGCACCTGCCTTAAATACCTGATCACAAATGCTTTAGTTACTGCCAAACAACCAAGCATCCTGACCAGGGCAGGCCTTTGCCAGTATTCAGCATGGGTGGTCAGCAAAAGAGAGAAGTAGCAAACAAAAAAAATTTTTTTTTTACTATTTTACTGCACTAAGCTTGGCCCTTTACAGTTTAATTGAAACAGTGTTCTCCTAAAGTCCCTGAGTACTTTGTATAGAAGGCTGCAGCTGATAAATACATAAAGAAAGAAGGGAGTAATTTTAATCTCTTGGGATCATTAGTTCTCGGTATCCATTTTATTATGAAAATAACCTTTTTCTTTAACCCTATGTTTTTAGAACCTTCCAAAATACTACCAGAGCTGTGCTTTTTTTGTGCTTCCACACCTCATTAGTACAGAATAATCGGTAAGGATATGATGTAATCCAATAGAAACAGCTTCATCTTCCACGTCTGTGTATAAACTACAGTGGCGGGTCTTTTTGCCCACTGTCCTAAGTACATTTACCACAAATACAAAGAACCCCTTGAGCAACCATTTCAAAACCCCAGTCATGGGGTGGTGTGTAAGTTAAAATGCAGTTACTCAGATCTTAGTGATGAGCAGTTCCTCCCAGGGAAGTCTACATTTGCTCAGTTCCTGGAATATGGCAGGTCCTGAGGGGGGTGTGGATGTACTGTGGTAATACTGAAGGAAGGTGTGATCCATCGAGGGAGGCTTTAGCTGACCTCAAACTTACATTGGCACATTTACATCTAGGACAGAAATGGCAAGGCCCGATAAGTACTAATTAGTCTGAAAACCATTAATTTTATAGACTCCCATTTTAAAAAGTTTTTTCTAAGAACTGAGCTTCTAAAAAGAAGTTCATTGTTCTTAAGAACCTACTACCATATCTAGAAACACATTCCAGATCCTACAAGTTCTCCACTTTTTAGGAGTATTTTTCCTGAGGTGGTGAAAACTACTCAAGACCAGAGTTGAAGAGATTGTCCTTGTGTCATCCTGTGTGTGTGTGTGTGTGTGTGTGTGTGTGTTTGTGTGTGAACTGATAGTATTTGTTATATCCAATGTTAATCTTCTCTTCAAGTCTGAACTGAGCTTAATACCTCTAGTCTAGTAAGACAGCACCAAGAAAACACCAGTTCTACACACTTGTGATTCAGACACAATTTGGTTTAGGATAGAGTAAACTATTTAATGACAAAATGTTCACCAAGTTTTCTAGATGTATATGAACAAACTGACTCATGAGCAAAATTCTTAACAAAGGCATGGCTTGGGGCGAGGGGCCTTTACTCATTGCTCCTTCTCAAAGTGGTTGTTGTAAAGCACAGCTTTGTCCTTTATGTCACCAGGGTCACATGAGAGATGGTGGGGATGTTTTATCCTCATTTCATAGACATTTCTGTAGGAATTGGTATCGTTTCATGCCTTGCTTTTGCAAAGCTCCTTTAAGAGTTATGAGGTTGTTATTTAGACAAATACACAGGTTTGTCACTTGAGAGAGATATATACAGAATTAGATCTAAAATACACTGGGATATGGTAAGTTATCAGGATTCTAGATATTTACACACAGTGAGACCAAAAGAAGATACTCCTAGGATAGAAATACAAACACACAATGCCTACATGCCTCTTCATATTTATATAAAACTGTGTGTGTGTGTATGTGTGTGTGAGAGAGAGAAAGAGAGAGAGAAGAGAGAGAGAGAGAGCGCTAGCATTTCAGGATATAGAAATAAGAGCTCTCTTTTTTAAAAAAATTAATTTTTGATGATTCTTTCTTGGTTTTGTATGGTGTATTCACATCTATACCTCAAGGAGGGAGTGGGAAGAGTATAGAACTTGAGGGATAAAGGGTGAAAAAGGGCAGCAGTGGAGCTCACTGGACACAGATAAAAGTGAATTATACAACTTGTGGGTGGAGAGAGAGGAAGGGACTGGGAGAGAATGAGGGAACAGAGACATTGTACAAAAAGGAATGTAATCATTACCTGATTCCTGTAATTGTAATCCCTCTGTACATTACCTTTATAATAATAAAGTAAATTAATGTAAAAAAAACAAAAGAAATAAGAGATACAGAAAGGCACTGGTGTCTCACTGGCCTCTGATCCTAGCTACATAGGAGGCTGAGATCTGAGGATCACTGTTTGAAGCCAGCCCAGGCAGAAAAGTCTGTGAGACTCTTCAATTAGCCAGTGAAATAGCCTGATGTGATAGATTTAGCTTGAGCAGAAAAGGCTAAGTGATATCACAAGACCCTTATTGACACAAAAGAAACAAAACAGTATTTTATTACTGAGTTTCATTACATACCTAATATATTTGTGGGTAATTTCTGACAATTATAGACATTTTCATAGTTTGTTCAAACTGGATGTAACTAATTCCCTTGGAAGCATGTTGGGACCAATGTGTTTGCATCTGAAAATTAAGGTATCTATGTCACCTCCAAGAGGTGGAATTAGCCAAGTAAGGAAAGCAAATGGAGCTTAGTTTCTGGTTGCAGGAGCAAGTCTCTTTCTAAACAAGAGTGTTGTATTGTATGACTTTTCTGTTAGCCCTAAAATAAAAGGTAATGGCTTTTCTTCCTATCCTTAGGCTTTACCTAACGTGTAATGAACTGGATAATCTTCATAAACCAAAAATATGTGGGTTTTATCCCACTGATTTTGCTGTAGAGATCTACTTCGAAGAGTAGTTACATAAACTATTCTATTTTGGCACACTATCTGAGGCACCACACCACCAATGTCTAAATTCATGATACTTTATATTTCTGTATATATTAAGAAAAAAAACCCACTAAAAAAAAAGAAACCCACTAAATAAATTTTATATAAAAGTATCATTAATGATTTTGTTTTGTTTTGTTTTGGTGTGGTATGCTAGCATTAGGGCTTGAACTCTGCATCTTACTCCTGGCTGATGCTCTACCACTTGAACCATACGTCTACTTCCAGATTTCTGATGGTTAATTGGAATAAGAGGCTTGAGGATTTGTCTGCCCTGGATGGCATTGAATTCAATCATCTAGATCTTAGCCTCCTGAGTGGCTAGGATTATAGGTGTGAGTCAGCGAGGCCCAGATTCACTGATGTCTTCTTGAAAGCATATACTTCACATAGTCTCCCTCTTGTATTTAATTTGAGAACACAGCATACAGAAGAGCAGTGGGGATCACATGAAAGAACTCTGACATAGCTTAAAGCTATCTAAAAATTGTAATCCTACCAATACCTATGGACTCCCATGTTTTTACACAAGTGGTTTAACATTTGCCATTTCTGATATCAGAAAACAGATTGCTTGATTCACAAACTATTCCTATGTCAGACTGTCAGGAAAGTTTTAAAGCTAAAGGGGAGAGATGTTTTACAACTTACCCCTCACCTCAATACCACACATGACACAAGAGGCTTATGTGACAAACCATCTTTGATTACAGACACACAGACGAGGGAGGACAAAAGGACTTTGAGAAACAATTATAAATCTCATTAACTTCTGCTTTTGTGTAACATCAAAAATGAATACTCTAGAGTTCTTATTTGAAAATTCACTACCTTTGCTCATAACCAACTTCACCTAAGCCTTGGTAACACTGAGAAGGGAAAGACATCTTTCCAAACACTGGCTAACCCCATGAACACACAGTCATCATTACTTTCTCGTTAGTACAGATTGGTACTTTAAGTACCTTACTTACTGGCACACTATTTTAAGGCCATGATTGCCTTCAAAAAGAATTCTATTTTAACATGACTGGAATGATGTCCTTACTTGAATGGTTTTGCTTTTATTAGCATTGCTTCACAGGGCCACCTTCTAAGAACCAAGTCACTAGGTGATTACAATCATTGTGCAAATATCAGGATGTGTTTCCACAAATGGCCACAGCTATGGTGTCACTAGGCAATAAAATCTCACAGGACCAACATCATGCATGGTTTTTCACTGACAGAAACATCATGCAGGCAAGGTTGACTCAATTCTCAAGCCCCTACAATGCAGAAAACACACTCTACAAAGAATTCATAAAGATAAGGGAAGTATTTGGGGCAGACCATTCCAATTTAGCAATCTTATAATCAGCACATTGACCACTTGGAGCACAATGGTCAGAGAAGTCTGCCAATTGCCAATGTGGACTTTTGTCATGGAAATATGGATGCCAGAGTGACACAGACAGGAGCTCAGAGCCCTGTGGGATGGAAGATGGGCACGAGCCAGCAGCCTGAAAATACATCAGGCAGCCTACATCTCTCTGTCCCTTGGTCTCCCCACCACCAATATCCAGAAAAAGGGTTCCAACAGCCAGTAGAGCAACCACATAAAGGCTTTTCCTTCCCCGCCCTGAATCTGACTCCTCTAAAGGAGCATGCTCTCAAGACCCTTCCACAGTATTACTCCCTTTAATCCCAGTAACAGAATTGTGCTGTGGCTCAACATTTAAAATTCGAGCAGCAGTAATCCAGTCAGACAACGAGGCAAGCTTAAGCAACCAGGCGGTAGAATAGCTGGTTTAGTAAAATCTTTTTCAATACTAGTGATAAGGGAAGCAATCTCTCATTTTTAAAAAACCTTCTTTTCGAAATAAGGAGGTTATAGTTGAGGTTTCTCTCCATGTCAAGACTCATCCAAATTTCTGACAGTTACAAGTTGCCGCATTTTTTTTCTGGTTTGCACACTTAAACAAAACTTTTGCACCTCCCATGTTTGTGGATTGGCAGAAAGCCATGGAGATAGCCATACCACCAAGAGCACTGGGGAGGCTCAGGCTGACAGGTCTGGATTGGCTTTCTACTGGAACTCCATAGAGCAATCCGAATAAGCAATGGACAATGGTCTGCTGTTCATGGATCCTCTGCTTTACAAGATCTGCCAGGGCTTGGTTGGGTGGCTGGGCCGAAGACCTGGACTTGGTCAGTGTTCCATATCTGTTGGTGCTTACCTACCCAGGCTGTGTGAAGCATGCAATGAGTAAAAAGGCACTTTAAGCACTAATGCCAGAGTGAAGGATTTTCCTGGTGGCCCTGCTGAAGTTATTCCATGGCCTTGGTTTATGGCCTACCCAGCTCTGCTGTCACTGGGAGAGCAATGCAGGGTAGAGAGGCTGCAGAACCAAGTCTTCTCTGCTCAGAGGTCCTTCTTACACACTGTCACATTCTGCCCTTTCCTTTGGCCATTCCCCTTGCTACCTGAGAGTTAAAAACTTTCAGGAGACTTTCTTACCACTGCCCTTTCCTTTTTTGCCAGTACTCGGGCTTGAACTCAGCGACCGTGTACTCAGTAGGCTTTCCCTGCTTATAACTGGCACTCTACCAGTTGAGCCACACCTCTAGCCCAAATTTTTGCTAATTAGAGATGGATTCTCCCAGACTTTTCAGTCCCCACTCAGCCACCTGAGTAGCCAGGATTACAGCCATGGGCCTCCAACACCCAGCATATTGCTTGAACTAATTGAAGATGTGATAGTTAATGCACAGTGCCAGAACTCTTCAGTTCCTCAAAGAAAGGTCCCATGAAAGCCCTTGTGAGCAACTTTCTGTAGAAGAGGAATGTGAGACTTAGAGAATTCCAGGGTTTCCTTACAAAAACAAATTTGGGAAAAGGGCAGATGAAGAAACTCTAGCTCTTAGAGACACCCAAAAAAGACATCTAATTATCTACTGCAGCTAGTGGAGGTCTCTTTCTCCCCTGATGAAGAACCATCCATTAAACCACAGTCCTTCCTTTAACTCATTACAGCAGCTTCTGCCATAGCAGTATTAGCCCCTTAGTTGCCCTTAGTTGTCATTAGCAAGCCATAGGCAGGACTTACTTCTTCCATGTTCCTCCCTGCAGGTCTGAGGTCAGTGCTTTTTCCCATGGTAGATAATTAGTCATGAGGCAAATACATAAGACTATTAATTATGCAATGGAACTCGATGTTTGCTTAATTTTTAACTGCTTTTGTCATGTTAAAAAAGAAAGATTAAGATACTAACTTTAATCCTTTAAATCCACTAAAATCGAGGCTTCTGTTGTTTTACCACAAAGTCATTACATTCCATATTTTGAAATGAAAAACATACATAATTGGAATTTACCACCTGAAAGAACCCTCAAAATTACAAAGATTGTAATTTATTCAATTTAAGGTAAGTGCTGTAGAATTGAGGGATAGGACCTGAGGACAAGTCTTCCCACTCTGAGTTTTTCTCATGGTTATGTACATAGATGGTCATAACTCCTAGCCATCTAAGTTTCCCCACACAGGAACTCCTCTCTGGAGCTGCCCACTGGGCAGGCAATGTGTAGCCTTCTTCCTTTGCCTATTTCCACTTGAGGGTAGGGCTCCATGCCCTTGCCTTCTGTTCTCATGGCTCCCAGTCTCAGCTCAGGGTAGGCCTTTCAGGGTTGGAACCTTTAGAGGTGAGGAGACCCATGAACCCTTGAGATACTTTTCTGGACCCACTTCTTCTCTCAGCAGCAGTGTCCCTGTATCATTTTTCTCATCTAGTCCTTTTTTTCCTAATCACACCAATCTTTCTTTTCCCTCTTCCCTCCTCTTCTAAGCATCACATCCCCAGCACCTGCCTTAAACATCTGATCACAGATGCTTTATTTGCTGTCACATAACTGAGTCCCCTGACAGGATAGGCCTTATGCTAGCATTCAGCATGGGTGGTCAGCAGAAAAGAGAAATCAGTGCATAGGTTTTTAAAAAGCCAACTCCAAGCTGGGTGTTGGCAAGGCTCACACCTAAAATCCTAGCTAGTCAGGAGGCTGAGCTCTGGAGAATCAGTTTGAAGCCAGCCCAGGCAGAAAAATCTGAGTCCGTGTACAACGTTTCCAGAGACTGTAGGGTTGGAGGCATGACTCAAGTGATGAGTGCCAGCGACGCAAGCTGAGCAAGCTCAAGGCTCTGAGTTCAAACTCTGGTGCCAGGAAAGCAAAAAGCTGAAAACAGTTTTGGAACACAGGAGTGGGTACTACAGAGAAGCTTCCTAAAGAGCAGCTTGGAAACTCTCCCCCCCTCCACCTGAATCTCCATGAAGAGTGAAGGGTAGGAAAAAGTAGTGTTTTACCAGAGTCCTTTAGCTACTACCAAGATGCTGCCTACTTCCAAAGAAATAAGACTGCCTGTGTTTGGCTTCTCATCCTTGCTGGGATGATAGGCACCCATGACCATGTCCACAGTTTTCCCTCTGGGCTAGCTCACACTGTGATCCTCTCAATCTCAACCTCCCAAGCAGGTAAGACTAAAGGCAAAAGCCAGCAATACCTAGCTGCTCTAGTTGTTTTGGAGATAGGGTCACACATTTTGCCAGGCTAGCCTAGAAAAATGGTGAGAGAGATTATTTCTTTGGGGCTAAGGATCTACACAAGTAAAAGAAAAAGGATGAGACAGGAAATTTTCACCTTCTTCCTTCTTTTTAAATGATAAAATACATTTATGTGTCTTAAAAGTTGTTGAATTGTGAGGAAAATCAAGGGCTTAAGCCAACATTCTTGTCATGCAATAAGAATTTGATTTAGGCTGGGAATGCGTCTTAGTGGTAGAATGCTTGACTACCATGCATGAAGCCCTGAGTTCGATTCTTCAGTACCACATACAAGGAAAAAGTCAAAAGTGGCACTGTGGCTCAAATGGTATAGTGCTGGCCTTGAGCAAAAGAAACTCAGGGACAATGCCCAGGCCCTGAGTTCAAGCAGTTTTAGACAGACAGAACAGGTAAACTCTTTAGCAGTGGTAATCAAACCTTTACATTTAAATTTCTAATAATTATTTCTAAATTTGAGCCAAGGGAAGTAAATCCCAAATTCCTGATG